AAGAAAACATAGATAAATTGGACTTTATTGAAATTAAAAGCTTTGGGGCATCAAAGCACACTGTCAAGAACATGAAAGCTCACAGAACAGAAGAAAAAAATTGTGAATCATGTATCTAATAAGTGATTTACATTCAAAATATAGAAAGGATTCTTACAACTCAGCAATGAACAACCAAACAACTTGATTAAGAATGAGCAAAAATTTGAACAAACATTTCTGCAAAGAAGATATATAAAGGGGCCTCCCTGGTGGCACAAAGGGTTAAGATGCAGCCTATGAAGCTATCCGCAGCCACTGCCAGTATGAGTTTGATCCCCAGCCAGGGAGCTACGCACATGGTACAGCAGACCTCTCCTGGCTTGCCCACTGGTCTCATCAGCAGTGTATTTCAGTAGATCTGCCTGTTCTGCTCTTCACTGTCTCTGGTGAGTCCTCACACCCCCACACCTCTGGCCTGTACCCTAATTCTTGTATGCATAAATTAAGAAAACTTTTTTTAAAAAAGAAGATATATAAATAACTAATAAACACATAAAAAAATGCTGAACTATCACCAATCATTGGAAAAATGCAAATCAAAATCAAGAGCTACCACTTCATTAGTATTAGGATATGAAGTAATTAGAATTCTTGTGAATTGGTAGTGGAAATACTAAGTGGAGTAGCCTCTAAAAAGAGTTTGGTGGTTCCTTAAAAAGTTAAACATAGAATGAACCTATGCTCCCACAATTCCACTCCCAGCTTATGTCCAAAGAATTGAAAGCAGGTAATCAAACAGATACCTGAACACCAATGTTCATAGCAGCATTATTAAGAATAGCCAAGCCCAAATGTCTTTCAAAGAAATGAATTAATTGATAAAATGTGGTACATACATAGAATGGAAAATCATTCAACGATTAAAAGAAATGAAATTTGGATAATGCTATATAACATTAATGAAGCTTTAAAACATTATAGTAAGTAAAATAAATCAGACATGAAAGGACAGATAATGTATCATTCCACTTATATAATGTACCCAGAAAAGGCAAATTTGAGAGATAGAAAAGAGTTTGCTAGGGGGGAGGGGGGAGTGGAAAGTTGTTTCATGGGTACAGAGTTTAGTTGAGAATGATGAAAACATTCTAGGTAGACAGTGGCAATGATTATACAATAATGTGAATATACATAATGCCACTGGATTGTACACTTTTATGTTATTTTTTTTAACCACAATAGGCATTTACCAAAAATGGGCATTAGAACATCATAATTAACCTGACAGATCATCATTAAAATATCACTTAACACATTATATTAAAACATTTCATTTCCAAACCAAAAATTAGCAGTTGTACAATCCCTGTTGATTAATAATTTTTAAAAGTAACATTACAGTAATGGGAGGGAAAACACAAGCCAAGGTGGCTATCACTTTTCCAAACTATTAAGCTCAAACAAAACATGTTAAAATTTAATAAGAATAAATCAAACAAAATAATTTTCAGAAGTGGAAATAGCTGCTATTCCTTCTTCTTGTGTATCTTCTCTCTCTGAGAAAAATTTCATTTGGAAATAAATTTTACTAACACGACATTATTAAGTCGCAAGAAACTATATTCTCTTCTGAATAGTTAATAGAAAAATATGTTACTTATAATGTTTGGTAAACAATGTAAAAATAACTTCAAAATATTTAATATTCTGAATCTTTTAAATACTGTTTTAAAATTGCTGCTTTTAAAAAGAATTCACTCGTTTTAAAATTCACAATTTGATGACAGATTTAATATTTAACTAAGGGCAAAGGACAAATATATGGAATTAGTTCCCAAATGTATAGAGTAAAATTTAGTTTGTTCTTTGGTGTCACCCTACAAGCCTCACCCCAAAATATAATGGAATACAGTTTGTGTCATTCAAAATGATAAAATGACAAGCCAATCTTCAATAAATGATTCTTGGTGACTGAGAATTACAGAGTTGCTATCTTGAGGTCAGATAAATTTCATTTAACTAAATGTACTCACAATTAGACTTCCTTGGAAGAATAGTCCACTGAAAGATAAAAATTTCTGTATCCTCTTATGTCTTTTGATATGATCACTTAATATTTCATTTTAAAATATAGAACTTTCTCTTACAGCAAACACACTATAGACATTTATCTAGATATATAGGATCCACTGTTAGGTTTAATGCTGCCATAATTTTTCCATTTTTTTGTCAATACTGTTATTCCTGTCAATTCACAAAAGTACAGTATAAATAAGAGACCTGTTTTGCAAAATGAGCCATTTTGAATTTTTTAGCTATGCTAGCATTGTTGTAAAATTGATATGTATTCTCCTAAAAATGAATACAGTTGAACATCTTTTCATATACTTATTGGCCACTGGCAAATATTATTTGGAGAAATGTCTATTCAGACCCTTTGCCTGTTTTTTCAAATAGGATTATCTTTTTACTATTTAGTTATAGGAATTATTTATATATTCTTGATACTAGTATAATTTACAAGTATTCTTTTTGTCATTCTATGGGTGTCTTTCTTGGTGATGTTTGATGCTCAGAAATTTTAATTTTGATGAAGTCCAATTTACTTATTTTTTCTTTTGTCATTTATATTTTGATGTTGTATCTAAAAAACCACTGTCTATCCCAATGTCATGAAGATTTATGCCTATGCTTTCATCTATGAAAAATTTCTTAGTTATAGCCTTTATTTAGGGATACGACTCATTTTTAACTAATTTTTATATGATGTATCAATATTACTTTATAGAAGACTACACTGGCAAAGTGAGGCTAAGCAATATTCCCAAAGTACCATAGTATACAAGGGATTGAGAAAGGATTCAAATCAAAACAAATTGGCTGTAAAATCTGCAAACTTAGCCACATTGTTATACTACTTCTACATTACAATCTATTTTTGTCAAAATAGATACAAATTGATAGATCGGGTGTGTTTTGTCTTTTTAATTATCAGTAGACAGAGAATGTAATGGGAAACTCCTAAGGATGGCATCAATGTTGCTCAAAAGGGATCATCAGGTTTCTGCCTTATCCAAAAAATGGTACAAAGATACATGAAACCTAAAAAGCAAAGCCAAGGTCTCCATGTCACAAATATGCAGTCTATAAACTAAAAATGACTTATTGTCTTAATAATGAATCCATAATTTGTATAATTGAAGTCAAAAGATACAATTTCACCAAACATTTCCTTTTCTCAGTATATCAGATATATGTACACTGATTTTTATAAATTTAAATCATTTCTTTAAAATAGCCCTCCTTATGCTACAGCCTGTGAAAACTAATTCTTCAAAAGGTGACCATCTGAAAACAAGATAATGTCTAATTTATCTATTGCAACTAGATAGTTTGTACCTTTATAAATTTCACCAAATGACAGGTACAGAAAAATATTTATTCCCATAACCCTTTAAAATAGCATTTCATAAAATCCAAAGAAATTTGAATTAATAATTTTGACAATGTTAAGTAACACTAGTATAAATTAAGACATTGGTCTAACAAAGCTATCCTAGTTTTCTTAATATCCAATGTAATATTCTACCTATTATATACCATTAACTTCATTTAGTAATCATTAATGACTAAAATCAATGTACGACCAAATATAAGAACTATGTGTTATCTACGGTGTAAATACATAATATAAAGAGATCCTAAAATGAATGTAGTTGAACATCTTTTCACATGCTTATTGTCATATGAGCCATTTATTAAATAGATCTTTCAATTCTACCTGCTCTGCCAGTGACAGACTTAAAAAGACCAATTAACCAAAGCTCACAATGAGGATTAGATATTTCCCATCTCCATGCCTTGCTACTTTATTTTAGATACAATTTAGCACATATTTTGTTGCAAAAGAAAGACACGTATTGGTAAAATGAAGAGCAATTTGCCTGTCTACACTTTTAGTAATATGTCTTACTGACTTAAAGGTTGATTTTAATTTGTATTGTATATGCCTGTTAATGAAACTGTCTACTTAGAATAACCATTAAGGTCTGGAACAATAACAATGGATACATTCTCCTAGAATTTCAAAGAAGATTCTTGTGTTTTTTTTTTTTTTTTAATGTTAACTTGAAGCTTCAAATGGAAGCCAAATTCATAGAGAAGGTTTTCTTTAAGTTCTAATGGTAACACTTGACACTTTCAATGAGATCTATGATCTAGACCAATAGTACAACTTTACTAATAGCTAAAGTTACAGGCTTTGTTTTTGCTTTCAAATGGCATAGATATGTTTCTAATAGCAAGAGAACCACAAATTTGACCAAATACTGGCTACATTTAATTAATTGGGCCACCATCTGAAGACAGCTCCCCAGTAAGCTTTGAACATTTTAACACTCCATCTACCACTCGCTGAGAAGCCCACAAATGCTTATACCACTCTTCAATTTCTCAGAATAGAACCAAAGACAGGCTCATTCAAAAGCTATGCAAGCTTTCTGCAGGATCACTATTATGCTGGGACACTAATGCAAGACCAAATATAAGGTCATGAATAAATTCATTCTTCAAAGTATAATGTGCTCAAAATAGCCAAGTCCATTTACCATCTTCAAATATGGCTAAGAGAAATAAAAATGAAATATAATAAACATCACAGGACTTTCTAGATATGAAAATATTAACAATATATTGGGTACTGGCAGAGTAAGTTCCTCCAGAGGCCAAAGAGATGTAAAGGAGAGTCCTTTAAGGCAGTGAGGCACTCAAGCTCCAGACAAAATGGAGGAAACATTCTGAGAAGAAAATGTTGTAATAAAATTTTATGTTTTATTACAATCCTTATTTCTCTTGGGAAGCTAAAGAATATAACTTTCATATTCTAGTCTGATATTATAGAAAGACTTCTGCTTACTAGAGAAGTACCTCGGATTTGGAAAAGCTCTATTTGCTTAAGAAGAGAAAAAGTTACTTCATTTAAAAAAAAGGAAGATCATAACCAGGGTACCTGGGTTTACCTTGGCTTTGCGAAAGTGATAGACCACCAGCATGCTAATGAAGTCCAGCAGCATACATAGGGCTTGGAAGGAGATGATAGCAAGTCGCAAGTACTTATCCTCCTGGACAAAGCAGGGGCTGTCATCAGCACAGTAGGGGCAGCCCTCCCTGCAGGGTAGGCAGACGTGGACTTCTTCTGATACATCTTTTGCACTTCCTGCAAAATGGTGATCCGGACCCCTTCCTGAAAGTTCCAAATAAAACCACAGTGTCATTGTACCTCTGAGGTAGCTGAGACTGAGTGCAAAGTCAAAACACATCCTAACCTCTTCATTTCTTTTCTCATTCACTAACGACCTTTTGTCAAGTTTCTTGCTAGTGGAGGGAGTTACTTTGCCTTATATTCTAACAAAATTCTTTTTAGCTCTTTGATTTTAAAAACAAATGTCATTCAGAGTAATTGAGGAAAATTGGCAAAAATGGAAATGAAACTCCTCAAAGGTAGGGAACAGTTTTCTAAATCTTTCACATCATTCTCTACCTACTCACCAGCTGATACTCCCGACAGCACAAATCCTATTTCATAAATACTTGTTAAAGAATTAACCAGGAGAAAGGATTAAGAAAGTTATGTCTTCCTGCACCAAGTAAATATACCTAACACATTAGGAACTTCTTGACCTAGATGACACAGAATACAAAATGAGGCTTTGATTGCTCCTTAATTCGGCAGGGATCTTATCCACCAAGTTCATTAGGTCTAAATTGGATAAAATGGTACTTAATAGACAGTTGTTTGCTGGGCAATTGCCTAATGATGATGCGTCCTTTGCCCAGAGTACAATCTGTATTTACAAGTTATCATGCAATTTCCCCCTTTGCATAGGATGTTTCCCATACTATTAACTAACCACTACTATTGATCATTGCTTTAATTTTAGATTTTTCTGCTCAGCTGTCAAACTTAGTGCAAGCTGAACAGGCAAATCTTAACTCTTCATTGTTGAGTTGAGCTTAATATTAAAAATATTCATGAATCACATGTACTTATAAAAAACAACAAAAAAACTATTTCCAACTCTGAATTCATTATGAAAGTCATTAGTGAGTATGTGCCCAGTTTAGTGTATAACACATAGAGTTCACTATATAAAGTATATATATATATATATATATCTTTGACTGAGGAATTTGGAATAGAGGTCGTTCTGGCTAACAGTAATTTAATAACAAAGTTTAGCAGAAAGTCTTTATTATTTTCAATTTTTTTAAAAGATTTATTTATTTATACAAGCACTGGGTACAGTCAGAAGCAATGGAGGGTGAGAGAATTCACCAGAGCCAGAGCAGGGAGCAGAACAGACAGACTGATGAAACGCACTGCTGAGGGGAGCAGCGGGCGGCAGGAGAGGTCTGCATGCCATGTGGGACCTTCGCTGGTGGCCGGGGATCGAACCAGCGCTGCAGAGGCTGCAGGCAGCTTTGTAGCCCAGCGCTCAACCGCTGCGCCACTGGGGAGGTACTCGATTTTTTTTTTTTTAGTATCAAGTAGACATGGTTCCCATCACTAGATAGCTCTGTGGTAATTTACTTGATTATGTTGGGTGTTAGTATACTTATTTCTGAAAACAAAAATTCTGCAGTTAAAAATAGAGAAGGTGGTTTCTGAGATTTATTTAGTGTGCACCAAGTCTATGCAATTCATTAAAAAAAAACTAGGGTATCTTTTTTTATTTTTCTCTTACTAGAAAATTGTATTCATAAATCAAATTTAGATATCATTTCTGCATTTGATAGATATACTTTTTTTTCTCTGACCTACATTTGTTGCTCATCTATCTTTCCTAATTATGACCCCCCCTATATTGATATATTCAGGTAAATCAAGGTTCTTTCATAGCAGTCACAATGTCTCCCAATTCTTATTTACTGGGGAGACTGAATTACTTTCTAGATTCAACCTAATGAAGCAGAGAGTAGGAGGTAGAACACGAGACTCAATCTACTTCTGCTGTCCAAAGTTAAGATTTAAATGCACCTCCCCTGGCTCATTATTCTCTTTCAATCTACTTCTGCTGTCCAAAGTTAAGATTTAAATGTACCTCCCCTGGCTCATTATTCTCTTTATCAACCTATTGCCCCAAGATCCACATGACCCAGGGAATTTCACATGACTAATACATTCTATTTCTGCTCACTTCTTTTCTAATGCTCTGAACCCCTGTAACTACCTTTACTCTCCTGTGTTCATTTACTGTTAGGATTCCACATACCTATCAAATAAACTGTGAGCTGTCTGAACATAAGGCCATGATTTTATATCTTTATTTTCCGACATAAATTAAAATGAAAAAGACCCAGTACATGGGCCATAAACTAGAATCAATAATTCAGGATATATTATCTATAGACAAAGCCTATAATATTCCATTATTTTCCTCAGGTATGACTGAAATAATAGTTAACAGGTATTATGTCTACTGAAATAGAAACAGTTAAATATGAAGTTATAAAATAACTCCAAAATATTCTATATTTCCTGATATGGGTAATAATAAATTATGTTAGATGAATGTTTCAATATTCATGAGTAAAAGCCACTATGTTAGAAAATAAATTATGATCACTTTTTATTCTTTGTTCTCAAAAGTATCACAAGATCAACTCACAAATGTCAAATAGTTAAGTGTTATCATGAAATACTTCCTCTTCAATAATTGCCTTAACTTTATTTCATTATGAAAAATCTTGAGGCTATATAGTGACATAAAGTGGTAAAACAGTGAGAGTCAAATAAGAGTTAAGGTACTGACTCCTTAAGCTCAAAAAGTAAAATTAAGGATAGAAATTTCCACATTCAGTGTTAGGACTCAAAACATGATTAAATAAACTTTTTAGTTCAGCATAGTTTCTATGATGAAATTCTCTATCTAGTAAATATTACATTACTACTATTAATAATGGGCTTTTTTTAATCTACTGAATGATACATTAAGTTTATGTTGGCCAAAAAATTTAAGTTCCTCAAGGACAGGGGCCATGATTTATATACCTCTTAATACACTCAGCACCAAATACAGTTTTATACACACACACACACACGCATGTATTCAATTCAGCATATAATATATATGGTACTCAGGAAATAATTGCTAATGATGAAAGAGTTCTCCCAAAGGAATAAATTAACTGATCTACAATATAAATGTATAGTTGAAAATAAAATTCAAATCAGTAAATCTTCATGCTCTCAAATCATTTATGCTAAAGCATTTTTTTCAAAATGGTATATTTCAAAATTCTAGAAAATTGATTAGAAGTAATGAAAATATTCATAGTTTGCTGATGTGTGCAACAAATTGTTACAACACATTGAAAAAAGGCATTATTAATTAAAATCTTAGAAACACATTTAAGATAGAATTCTAGAAACAAATTAGGAAATAGATTAAGAACATAAATTACAGGTATTGGAAGCAATCCCAATGCCCACCTGTGACTATGCAGGTGCCTCTTTTCACCAACTCTCCTTTGCAGGGCAGTAGCCTTCCTGCCTGCCTGTGACCTGCCAAGGCTGCCCGCCTGCAACCATGCAGGCCTCTCTTAGTAGACCTGTCCCTTCTGGGGTAGCTCTTCCTGCCCTCTTGTGTCTATGCAAGTGTACTTTACTTTTCTAACCATTTTCCTAATAAACCTGCTTTTAAAATATAAAAAATATATATATAAATTACAGGTATTTTTGGGAACCTATGGGAAAAACTGTTTAGAAATTACCTTGGATGATAATTTAATCCCCAAATTTCAGTTTTGAGCAACTGGAACCATCCTCTATACACACAATGCCAATTTGCTTTGCTAAAGCTTGAAAGTGAAGGCAACACTTGGGACTTTCTGATAAAACAAATACTTCCTAAAGCCAAATACTGAACATATGAGCTAATAGTTCTGACAACAGTAGCTTTTCTGTTATTTATATGGGTGATCAAGCATGCTGCCTTGAGCAAAAATATAGAAAAGGACATTGGGAGAAGGTTAAATAGCCTTTGCAGGATATCTGAAGAATGTAAAATCTATAAACATAAGCCTGCCAAAATAAACGACAAAATCTGTAAACAGCATGTTACCTTAATTTTACTATACAGACTACAGAACTGAGAAATTCAGAGAAAAGAGGAAGATAGAAGGCTGAGCACAAGGGGGTAGGGAGCACGCTGAACTATGGTGGGGATATGGGTGCTCTGGTGATGAGACCATTTTGGCAACATCCCTGGAAAGCAGGGTTGTACGGGGTGGTCCTAGGCTTCCAAAATACAAACAACAATGTAAACCAACATAGTTTTAAAACTGAATCAGCAAAATTTTAAGACTGTATCACATACCAAACATATAGCTATTGATAACTCACATAAATTGCATTATTACACATTTTATATACATATATATACATGTGTGCATATATACACACACATACACACATACATTACTGGTGGCTACCTTTGAATAATAAAATCCAATACTTTACTCTGCCATCATTAAACTAGGAAATGGAAAAGTTTTCTTACTGAGAAAATTTTAAGCTGTCTTTTAAACTCCGTACTGCTTATTGATGTTCTAATAATATTACAATAGTAAACACTACCAGGAATGCCTTTCTTAAGTTTTCACCCCTTTTGGAAATTTTAAAAAATCCATTGAAATGTCAGGCAAGTCAAAAGTTGTGCTTATAAATAAAATAAAGTATTAATATCTTAATATTTTTCCTTCAAAAAGGTATTCTAATTTTTCCTTTGAAGGGAATTACAAATAGAATTTAAAGGCAATATTTGAAAAATATATGTGGCAAAATTCTATTTTTATGCCTCCTGGAATTAAAATTACATTGTGTAGACATTCAGAAATTTTGTCATCTACAATAAAAGCTCAGGTGGCAATTTCATCTATTACTAATGAAACCCTAAAACATTTCAGAAATTTTCTAAAAATATTAGCTTTTTTTTTGTTTTCTGAAGATTCAACCAATGATATATTAAAGAGCACTTTGCTCCTCCTTTTCTTCGATAAATAACATAGCTTTTCTTAATCACTTAGATTGGAATAAATTATGGAAGTATCAAAGGAAGATCAAATACATCCACATTTTTACAATTTGTGGGCCATTTTTACAACTTAATGGAGTCAAAATGCACTCCAAAAAGTTTTCTGTTTTATAGGCAAAAATTACTGAGTTTTTGGGCCTCCTTGGTG